TATGATCTCACAGTGAGCTGATAATATTTTATGTTAGCCAAAGGTGTAGCATTAAGAATCTACAAGGGGAGAAGATGAAGCAGCATTAGAGGAGAAAGAAGGAAATCAGATAGGAAGGAAAAATTAAGGACGGATGGCCATTGGTACAGGGAAAGATTGGACCTTAATTCTTTTGTGTTACTGCTATACTGAGTAGTAAAGAAACTTACTGCTGTGTCCTAAGCAAGGAGGTGTTAGGCGATTGCCCAGTAAAAAAAGTATTCATAGAGTGTAAGTTGCACAATAACAACCCTCATGGAGACAAATAGAATTAGGTGACAAGTGATTACCAGACATAAGAGTTCCAATCCTGATCTAATGCTGGTTTTCTAAAATAGGAAATTAAGGTATTTTATTGAACTTGTAAGTTTTAAAAAAACTACTTGATGGTATTTTATGGCATTCATCGTTTTCTCACTAACTGGAAGATGTGGAAACATATCTCCAGGGTTTAGCACTTAGTACACGTGTACTTGGTGTAGGTGTTATTGAAGCATGGTGGGATACTACATACAAGCAGCTAGAAAGTTTGGGCTATTTATAAAGTAAAAGTACAGGGACACTGAAGTCATAGCTTTGAAACTGACTTCAAATTATATACTTAGTGATGAATAACTTGGGAAAAAGAATGATGACTTCACTGTATAAATATGCAACTAAATTTTATAAAGGTGAGTTTTAAATAATTCAAAAAAAGATGTTTTAAAATATTTGTTCAGCATTTAAAATTCTTTAATATTCTCATTAATAAGGTAGATGAATTATGTGATATTGCTATTCTTTACAGTTTGGATATAACTTATTATGGGAGCAGGTTTCAATAAACGTCTGCCTCATCTTTTGTGTGTGACACAGCTAACATGTGCTTATTGTAAATGAGTCAACATACAGGCGTGTATAAAAGAAGGGCAAATACTCCCCCATCTCAGTAATCTTAACCATTTGCTGTGTGTTTATTACCACATATTAACATATTGCACTTTGTATAGATTGTTCTTTTTTTCCCCCTCAGAAGTGAGTAAATATACTGTGTAATTCTTTTTTTAAATTTAGCAACATTGTAGAAATCTATTGTGATACATACTTCTAGATCACTTGAATAGCTCCATAATATGGATATGTCATAATTTTTGGACCATTCCACTACTCCTGGACATTCATAGTATTTGCAGTTTTTTGTGATTATAATAGTAAGATGAACTTCCTTTTACATGTATCTTTATACATTGGCTATTTTATTCCTGTAGGATATATTCATTAAAGTAGAATTTGCTAAGTTAAAAAGAATACATAAAATCAATCTTACTGTTACTATTGAATGGGTCCTACATGAGCATGGAAAGAAAAAATTCAAAGAGAAGGCATTTAAAACAATGTCTCTTATTACATACCAAGGCCTTTTATGCTTAAACAGAAGATTGTAGAATCTGTCATCTAACATAACATACCAGCTCAGGGTGGGGGGATTATGAGCATCATTATTAATGTGGGATTAGGTACACCAGTGACTCTCTTGATATCCAGTATTCAAAGGAGCTCTTAATTTACCACGAGCATTGCACTGAAATGTGTGGCAGGTTCTTATTTTACAGGTATTTAAATTGGTCAGTCTCATAGTTTAATAGATTTTAATCTGGAAATGGATATTTTATGGATAACATGTGTTACCAGATTTTCAGAGCTTGTGTGGATCATCTAATTTACAAATTTCCCATTTTTATTTCTCTCCATGTACAAAATGAGACTTGGAGAATCAAGATGAAAACAGTGATAACTATTCTGTTGGTAATTTACTAGTCTAACAAGGAATGCTTAAAGAAGTTGGCTAGAAAAGACAACATGTGCCCTTCCCTGCTTCTGCCCCATCACTGTATTAGACAATTGAATCATCTTTATTTTCTCTGATGTATCTCCAGTGGCTAGAGTAGCGTCAGGCATATGATAAGGACTCAATAAATACTAGTTGACTGGATATTAATCAAATTTAACCAAGAACTTGAGGCCCTAGGCTTTTAGATGATCTGATTCCAACATTTAAACGAGAGAGCTAAACATTCATTCTAAATAGTATGCATATAAAACAGTTGAAATCAAGTAACGTATTGAAGGGGTAATCAGATGGAAGTCATGCCATACTTATCAAATTCATCACATCACAAATAAGTCCTATTGTACTTCCTAGTTTTAGTCTTCACAGGGCTAGGTTAGCTGGCCTGATCCCAGGAGCATCTTTGCATCATGAGATAACCATATTACAGGTGCATAATACAATTCAATTTATACACAGAAAAAAAAAAGTAACATTATGAGACCCAGAGGCCAGAAGCACATACATTCAATTGGTTTACACTAATAAAGGCTATAATGAGATACTTTAAGAAAAATGAAGACAAGCCTCTGATGGTTTGGAGATGTTAAACTAGAAACAGAAGTATTGATTTCTTAAGGTCCTTTCTACTATTTAGATTCAGGAAAAACAAGTCAATTACTTTAAAAATTCACTAAGTTTTCTCCAAACAGAAGTGAACAGAAGGAGTATTTGTTCTAAAAACTATGTAAAACTAATAAAAGGCAAGACAGTTTTCCACTTCTATGCATTTTCCCCCCCAGTACCAAATAATATGGCAAACCTTTCAAAAACCCAGTAAAACTTATGAGAACAAATTAGGCCCTTGTCTTTCATAATTACTATTTCTAAAAGTAGAGTGTTGAGTAATTTCCAATTAAAAGCACTGATTAAGCTTGTTTAATTATTACTTATGTAATTTTAGGAGAAAGGGGCAATCTGTAGCTATGATATGAATCTGATTTGACAGGATATATGCTTTTATACTGGGCATAAGGATTAATAATCTTACAGAGATATAACTAGTAGCAAAATAAAACTAAATTAGTAAAATTGTAATCTTTTGAAATTATGAAATGATACTGACTCACAAAACAAAACATGCTTTCAAAAACTTCTGAAACAATTTTTGAAATTTATTTCTAAACGTCACAGAGACAAAACTTTTAAAGCAACACATTTATACTAAGGATACATGCGTGAGCAAAAAAAAAATAAGGGAATACAAAAATGAACATAGTAAAATTTTAATGAATACAATATTCCAGATACAAGTAGAATACCAACAGGTAAGAACTGTTTTTACCTCAAGTCTATGATAGTGTGGATTGAGATAAACCAGGTTTAGGATAGTCCCTTCACTATTCACATTTTAATCAGTGCTGACTAGAAGCCAAAGCAACTTATTTTAGGCTGATTTTCAATGAAATTATAGAATGAGTCTTCTATTTAATAAATGCGTTTTAAGGTGTACTGTACTCATTTAAAGGCAGCTGGGGCAATTCAGACCATGGAGAGCCCTTACAAAGATTTAAGCACCAAATGACAGATCGTTTGTGGCTTTCATTTTGGGCCACCTTAGATTTTATTTTGTTTAAATGTGTTTTCATTTACATACAAATTCCTTCAGGCAAAAGATTTTAACATGGAACTTTCTGCTTGGAGATCTTGCCAGCGGTTACTTAGAATAGTTGTTAAAGCAATGAATACTTTAGAACAACCCCAAGGCCATACTTAATTGGTTACAATTATAAGATGCAGAACTTTTTAAGTATTCTGGTCCCTGAAAATTCAGTAGGGCCAAATGCATTAACTGGAAGTAGCATTTGTTAAAAAAAAAAGTCTTACTCAAAGATGATAATTAATAAAGCGACTATTTAGGCTCCAATACACAATCTTTCTAAATTTTCCCCCTGTAAGAAATGATTACAATGTCTTTCAGGCTTGCTATATGCTCCATAGAATCAAAAGAAACCAAGAAGGAATTTAACATTTCAACAAGCTAGGAACTATTTACTGTAAGCATATAGTGAAATTCTGGAAGACATACTACCATACTTTGAAAAAACACTATTTAATAGGTAAGCATGTGTTGAAGGCAGTTTATAAATGAAACATTACAAATCTCATGTTTATGCATACAACTTATAAAATAGAAAAAAACTTGCTATTTTTCCAATAGTATAGCATCGCACTAACACTATATAGTTAAGATTGAAAGCTTCTGTACACACGTCCACTATGCTCCACAGCAGCATATGCCTCTTAGACATCTTCCTTTGTTATCCAACGTATGCCAACCATGGTTTCAGATTTGTACCAGTTTGAGCAGGCTACAACAATCATTCTGTCTTATCTATTTATCTGTGAAGTAAAGTTAACCAGTTTCAGGGAATGAACAGTTTCATAATCAGTAAAAAACATGTTAAACCTCTGCAACAGGATGGAAAATGCTTCTAAGGACATGATATAATCCTAACAGGAGTATGGATTATGCCCCTAGATATGTGGGAAAAGTCGGGAGCCTGGAGAAATACATTAAGATATATGGGACCTAAATGATCATGAAATTAGTAATAACCACTAGAAATTCAAATGTGAATTACTGCTATTTTTCTAAGTGCAGTGTCATCCAGTTTACTACTTATGACTACTCAAATCTGCCCTGCCACTACATGTTTGCTGTTAGTGCAAATCAATATCCAAATGTTAAGGAAGCAGTCTGAATCATGAGATATCTGAAAAAATTAGAATGATTGTATATTTATCTTTATATTCTAAAAATAGTGCTATAAAATTCAATTATTTTCCTAGCTTCTTAGGCCTTCTATCATCTTAGGTAATTCAAATTAAATATGGTTGCCTGCTAATTCTTTAGTAGAAGTAAAAACAAAGCACATTTTGGTTGTTTTGCTGCCAGTCTCCTCATGCCTGTTCTTTATCAATGAGAGCACTACTTTAGGCATTTATTGTGCTACTTGAACATAACTGAACATGAGAAAAACTGGTAGTTCAAATTTTGACAAGTGATTTTTTTTTGGTGGCAGGCTTATTTAGAAATGAAAACAAACAAGCAAAAAACCCACATAAAATCTAAAATCAGATGGGTACTGTGACAACACAAACTAGGAACTTAAGTCTGTTAAAAAAGACTTAAGACACTGAAACTTTTTGAAAAATATAAAACCTAATTGTTTTCTTTTTCACTTTGGCTTTTTTTGAATTAAAATTTGTGGTAAAATGACCTCAAAGATTAACTCCCTCTAAGTCACGTAGGGCATTATTCATCAGTGCTTTGTAACAGAAATATATTTTATAAATATTTTCAACTTGAATGTTTTGAAAGAATTTAAGATTCTTTTTTAAAGCTCTAGTCCAAGTTTCCAGCTGTTTAATTTTTAAAAAATATAATTCGGGTATCCAACAGAGAGGACCTAACTGAGCTAAGCTACTTTGATAACCTTACAGGACAGTGAGGTTCAGATGGAGATCATTTCCTGAACATGGTTGACCTTTAACAGAACTGATTATTTCCTCACCCAAACAGTTATGCAGGATACTGCCAGATCTCCATTACAAAAACCTTGCCAGTATTTCTAGACAATTGTTTACCATCCATGTTTAAAAACCTTGCACCACCAGAGGCAAAGCACACAAAAATGAAAGTAAGCAAACTTGTTTCTAGTCTACTTATCTAAACAAACTCTTATAAAATCATATGGAAAAATTAATGCATAGAAAGTAATTTCCTTATTATCTGTCAGCCAAAAATTATTTTCTGTAAAAATAGGAAACTCAATCATAAAATGTCTACCTGCTTAAATTAAAATGCCAATCTTGAAGTCTTTTTAACACCATGACATAAAAAATAAGTTTGCAAATTCAAGATGATACTTGAGATGAAAACTATGTTTCAAAAATGTATGTTTATCGTAAGAGACTAAAATCATGTCACTGCAAAATTCCCCATGGCTCTTGGCACTGACATTAAAAAAAGATTTTAGTCTTTTGGTCACTTGAAGCTGCTACTAAATACAACAATAAGCCTTTAAAAAAAAGGGGGAAAAGACAGTGAGGAACTGAAGGATAGTTAAGGTAACTACATCATGTATGAGTAAAGCATAGTCTGAAATAAACAGTCACTTTCTGCTACAAATAATGAAGATATAAGAACAGTTACCCACCATCTCTTCCTTTTTGAGGATCCTCTAATCAGAAATAATTCCTTTAAGTTACTGTGAGTGGCGTTGCCTGGCAGCAGCTTCAATATCCTAGGCTAGTCTTTAATCCAAGTAATGAAGTAATCTCACAAGGAATAATCATACGTGGCAACAGGGTAGAAAAGCAGGGCAGTTCTTCCATGCACAAACACTTCAGGAGAAAAACCATCAATTTGAAAGATAACCATCAGGTTTCAGGTATCCTAGCACACTCTAAACCCTAAGTTTTGCTTTACACCATTGGTGACTAAAATTAACAATACATTTTGCAGTGAGGTTTTTTTTTTGTTGTTTTTTGTTGTTTTTGCCTGCAACTCTATATACATTGCAAAACTATTCTGCATCACATGATTTAAAATGAAATAAATATAAAAATGAACCACACAATCAACACATAACTTTAATACTCCACATTATTTATCTTGATCACAATGGTGGTAACCTCCTTGTCAACAATCTTGTGAGTTAAGGAGTTGATTCTCATTCTCATATCCATCAGGTAGATATGCTCTCCTCAGTTGGTCTGACTTGGGTATGGAGCCTCCATTCTTTACATGGCGAGACAGGAAAGCTCGAACTGCTGGGTGATCAGCCTTCTCAAGTGGGATGTTGGCTTCCAGGCACATTTTTACAAAGTCCTGGATAACACTGACTTTCTCTGTTTGCGCAGTACTGTTGCATTGGAGGGATGCAGTAAGAGGCCTCTGCTTCTTTCTCACATTCTGCTCTTCAAATTCTGCCTTCCTCTTGGTATGAGTCTTTGACTTGAGGTGGTCACTAATAGCAGACTTGCGAACGTGATTCAGAACCACATTGCAAGAAGTGCAGAAGAGTTTTCCTCCATCTTCGTGCAGCTCACCTCCAAACTCAGTGACTCGATCCAGGGGAGTCACATACAAAGCAGTCTTAGAACGGTTTCGAGCAGGTGGTGCTGTCACTACAAATCTTTCCATTCTGACTTTGAATAAGGTTCTTTCAAGACAAGAGAAACAAAGTGTTATAACAACACTTCATTTGGGAAGAAATTACCAATAAAAGGAAGACAAGCATTTTTAGAATAAAGGCTTCAGAAAACTTAATTCAAATGAAGAGACTGTGTGTCTACTAAGTCTTAACTTACCTGAAATATGTAAGGGTAGGCAAAATCAGAGCAAGTTATTAGTAACAACTAGGTTCATTCCCTGATTTTGATGAAATTCAAATAAATTAGAACTATGAAAAAAGAGCTCCAGCTCTCCTAGATGTTACTATTCTTTAGAAAAACCTAATCACAGATCAACATTTATGGTGTTAACTGTATTAATCTCATCCATTTAGACGTATGTTCAAGTTTAAAAGAGCTGCTTTCCCTTCACAGTTCTGGGGCAACTGATTTTAGGAACACAACTGCAGAGAATTGTGTACAACTGTTCAAATATGTGGCGACTAAAATGGCATAAATCTATATGCAGATGCATATAATTTCCAAAGTTGTTCTGAGAAGAAAAGTAAAAACCAAGAAAGAACACAGAGCAAATGCAAATAAAAGCAGCAACAATGACAATTCTTAAAATCAAAATACACAGCTCAAAGTTAGTCATTTTTGTAATGCATTCTTTCCAAAAGGTGACAGTCAAGATATGCAAGTGCCTAACACTGTCTTCTTTCTTCCATTAAAGACTAATATTTACATTTGTTAATATTTATTTCACTTATTAACTGATAAGTTAGATCAAAACTAAGAACTTAACATAGCACCTTGTATATCACAATTTCTTTATATGGAATAAGTAAATGATTTCTTCACTATTTTTCCAAATATTTAACTCAGAAGCAGCTTCATAATTTCTCAATTTATCCTAACAACAAATTTTTATGATCATTGCCAAAATCATGTTATGGGAACTGGAAACTTGAGATAAAGAACAAACATTGTCAGTGATGACCATTTGTTCCCTGGGGCCATGCCATTGTGCTAATCTCTTACATTAACCTAGGTTAAGAAATTGAAATGAATTTCATAGAATTCAAATTGGAATTCTGTTCAGTTTAAATACATTAGAGAAAAATTCCCAAGGGAGCTCTAAAGGGCAATGCTTTATAAGTGTAATCAGAAACAATGGAGTATTCCATTAGTCTAGACTAGAGAATTCGTAGCTGGGTAACATGAAATATCTCTCAAAAGAATTTCAAATTGCCAATGTGTTAGTCACCTGTGGACATAACCTCAACATTTCACAGAAATTCTGGAAAGTATGTTAAGTTAGATTTTAAGAAGTTTCCAACTCTATTTTTTTCCATTAAAAATCTGTTTAATACACGGCTCTCATGTACCAAATACATTATTTAGTCTATAGGTTTCCACTGGCATTTAAGACAGATATGACTCCTGCCTATTAAATAGTTAAATACTATCACACATATTTGTAGTTTAACTTAATGGTATGTTTTATAATCATATAGCAAATCAGTCCCTATTATGATAAATGGTTGTAAGCTAGTTATGAAAACCATTACATATTTGTGTCCAGTGATGCCTAAATCTTTCTATGTGAAGTCTCTTGTCTTTAAATATTTGGATTTCAAACCCTAAAACAATGAAAAAGGTCGTTTTTCTTTTAAGCATAAACTGCTCACTTTGTATTAATATGAAAGGCCTATACATTCCAAAGTCTTGTAACTTTTAAAGTATATTTGCGTTACCGCAAGGCAAATATCCACCCAGTAGAGAATGCTCGAGTTTACAGAACCGAAGAACAAAAGTGTTTTCTACATAAGTAAAGATATCCTAAACGAGGAAGTTAAAAAGTTAAGAGTAGGGGGAAAAGATGGGAGAAGCAGCAAAACATTTACTAGATAAAAATAAAAATCATCAGAAGTCTTCAAGTTTAAATGTTTACCGAATTAGTTTCCAGGTTTTTCCGTCTTGATACCTAGTAGTGAAGGGTCTCCAGCGCAAAACCAGAGACGCATGCAATCCTGGCACTTTCCGTTGATTTAAACTCGGAGATGCCTTCAAATCAGTTTTTCAACAAGTGGTGGTGGGGAAATAGTTTCTGGGCTTGCACCCTATTTTCCCTGAGGTGCCGGGAAGTCATGCCTTTACTGTAAAACACGAAAAACAAATGGAAAGAAAAGATGGGGGAGGGGGAAGGGCGGATGGAAAACGAACACGAACGTCCACAACAGTCAGCACGCAAGTGTCTTTAAAACCACTCTAGTTAAGTCCACACCACAAATCCGGATCCCTGCGTTTACCCAAACACTCCTCATCCCAGTCCCTTCTCGGTCGTTCGCCCCGCTCCGCACCTCCTCGCGTGCCCCAGGCCTCAGGGTTCGGGAGGAG